TTTGTCATCCATGTATTTAAAAGCAATCCGGAAGTTAGAAAGTGTAGCATAGGCTCCTCACACAATGCGCTTTATGTGGTCCTCAGGTGATAGTTTTCTATCTAGAACCACCCCTAGAACTCTTTCTTGATCAGAATTCTGTAAAGATTTCTCACATAATTTATAGGTTGTGTAGTCTATGTTCTCCTCTTCCACATTCCATAACATGGAATTTATTCACATTAAATTCCATTGCCAAGTGATGTTCCATATACTTATTTTGTTCAGGTCTTCTTGCAGGCCATGACAAACATCTAAGTTTCATATCTTTCCTATAATCTTAGCATCATCAGCAAACATGTTTGTATAATTCTGTACTCCATCTGGTAGATCGTTTATGGAGACAATGAACATTACCGGTGCAAGAACTGTACCCTGAGGTACTCCACTTGTGATATTTCTCCAGTCTGATACACTGCCTCTGAATACTGCCCTCATTTTTTATCAGTTAAAAAATTTTCATCTACGTTAGAGTCTTACCTGTCACCCCCTCCAATATGTTTCAGTTTCCAGAACATCATCTTATGTGGAACTCTGTTAAAAGCCTTTTTTAGGTCCAGATAGATGCAGTCAACCCAACCATCTCTTTCCTGTAAAATCTCTGTGGCTCGATCATAGAAACTAAGTAAATTCGTTACACAGGATCTTCAGATCGAAAACCATACTGACTGTCAGATACTATAACATATTCCTCCAGGTGTTCTACCCATTTAGTTTCAATTATTTTTCCCAAAATTTTGACTATTACACTTGTAAATGATACATGTCTGTCAATAATTGAGGGGGGGGGTCATCCCTGCTTTTGTAGATTGGAACTATGTTTGCCACCCCACTTTTGTAGACTGGAATTATGTTAGCCTTTTTCTACACACCTACTATGACTCCTGTACACATGGATGCCTGAAAAATCAGTTCAAGTGGGATGCTAAACCTGGGTGAATATTCTCTCAGAACCCATTGTAAAACTCCATCAGAGCCAACTGCTTTGTTCATACTCAGCACCTTGAGAATTTTATGCACCTTGTCTCAAGACACCTCTATGTGCTCTAAGTTGTTCCTCTGGAATTCTTATTGTGTTCCTTAACCACCGTGCTGCGCCGAGTTTATTGTGAAATTCCCCCTGTGCGCATGAAATAAAGTGTTCCCCAAAAATTCTTTTTTCTTCATAAAATGATAAATTCCCTTCCCTGAACATGTCTATGTAAAAATAAATACCAAATTCCACTTACTTTGACTGTGGGGACGTGGACAAGGTGCGCTGTGACATCATCAGGGACTGGTCGCCTGTGCATGAATCGCCCAGACACGGTTGCACGGGCCATTCAAGCACCGGGTGTTGCCACAAATATATTTTCAATTATTTGTTCTATGTATTTCCAATGCGTTTTTTTTTTAATCGTATATGATGCATATTTGTGTCCTTTACAATATGTATACAGTAGAACGTTCATAATGGTCCATGGAACTGTGATACATGTGTCAGTAATGTGTCCACAATAAATGTTTATTGTTGCAATTTTACCTGTTAAAAATTCACTAAAATTACAATATGTACAGTTTCACACACCATTTACATAGTAACACTCTGTATTACACACTCAGTACTTCGGAAGTGAGTAATAATCAACGAAATAGTCCATGGTGCACAGCGTGATTTCGCTCTCATTGCACCAGGTACAGATAAATTTTCGCTTCCTGTTTCTTCATTCTGTGTGCTTGCAAATAACGCTCTCAGTAACTAAACCCTTGGCTTTAGTACTTGTAGGTTGTATGTAGCCAAGCTTGTAAAGCATAAGATAGTATTGAAAAGATTATAGGAAAAGATCAGTTTGTAAGGTAGTCTTGAAAAGATCGCTTTGTATGGTCCCACACAGGAAGAGATTCAGCTTGCCTCAAAGAGTATCCGTCAGTCAGAAAGAGATTCAGCTAGCCTCAAAGAGTGTCCATCAGTTAGGAAGAGATTCAGGTATTCTTGAAAATATTTATGGAAAACACCACCATGGAAGCCGCTAACACAGTTCATCTATGCTACTTGTATCAGATGCATCATCACTGAACGCAGAAAACGATTCATCTATGTATCATCTAAATAAATTAGAGATAGCATAGGATTGCAAGGGTGACGCTCAGAGCTACAACTGGATACGCTCGCTGTATCACTTGCATCCGACCTTTGTGTTAGGTCCTTATTGCACCTAGCTTCACCAATATTATGATCCTTATGTTCTTCAAACAATAAGGTTTGAATTTTACCGACAGAGCGTTATCTTTCAACACCGTGTCGGACAGGTGTTAGAGAGCCAGAGGTGCGTGCGCCACCCATGGTTGCTCATTCAGTACTAACCCAGCCAGCAGCCCTAGGGCATTCTGGGAATTTTTTCCAAGATGGCTGCCTCTCACTGGAGGTCCTAAGAGTCCATTTCGTACACAACCAAACTCGCACACATTTAGAATGGGTACGGAAAAATCGAAGAGAGTTTTCTCGGTTGACGCAGTTTCCCGCCAATCGAGAATACTCGGCTGGCGCTGTTAGGTGCTTAAAGATTTAATTTTGTACAAACACACTTTGGAATGTTTCGTTTAATGATTCATACATTTCCTTTTCATTTTCTGTGAATCTGTTTCCCATTTTCAACCTCTGAATATTATCCTTTACCTGCAATTTGTTATTAATGAATTTATAGAATAGGCATAGTTCTGTTTTACATTTGTCTGCTATCCCTTTTTCAAAATTTCTTTCTGCCTCTCTCCTCACTGCTGTGTAGTTGTTTCTCGCATCTTTGTATCGCTGGTATGTTTGGGGGTTTTCCCTCTTCCTATACTGATTTCATTTTTGTGTCTTTTGGTCTCTGGCCCTCCCGTAATTTCTGGTGAACCAATCCTGTTTCCTAGGTCTGCAACTCTGTTTCGAAATGAGCATTTGTGTGTCTTCATCGTAAATTTTGCAAAATTTGGCATACACCTCATTTACTTCTTTGCCTAGCAACAAATCTGTCTAATTATACTCACTAAAAAAAATTTCTAAGGTCCCCATAGTATTCTCTCTTGAAATCGACTTTAACAACTGTTTCAGTGACCCCATTTTCTTCTAGATTATATTTCAAAGCATATGTAATGTCCAATAGGACATGATCATTCTAAATGATCAATCACTGGTGTAATTACCTAAGTGTAATTACCTAAGTGTAGTTATCTTAAGTTATCTTAAGATGATTTCGGGGCTTTTTTTTAGTGTCCCCGCGGCCCGGTCCTCGACCAGGCCTCCACCCCCAGGAAGCAGCCCGTGACAGCTGACTAACACCCAGGTACCTATTTTACTGCTAGGTGACAGGGGCATAGGGTGAAAGAAACTCTGCCCATTGTTTCTCGCCGGCGCCTGGGATCGAACCCAGGACCACAGGATCACAAGTCCAGCGTGCTGTCCGCTCGGCCGACCGGCTCCCTTACAGGATGAGAGCTACGCTCGTGGTGTCCCGTCTTCCCAGCACTCTTTGTCATATAACGCTTTGAAACTACTGACGGTCTTGGCCTCCACCACCTTCTCACTTAACTTGTTCCAACCGTCTACCACTCTATTTGCGAAGGTGAATTTTCTTATATTTCTTCGGCATCTGTGTTTAGCTAGTTTAAATCTATGACCTCTTGTTCTTGAAGTGCCAGGTCTCAGGAAATCTTCCCTGTCGATTTTATCAATTCCTGTTACTATTTTGTATGTAGTGATCATATCACCTCTTTTTCTTCTGTCTTCTAGTTTTGGCATGTTTAATGCTTCCAACCTCTCCTCGTAGCTCTTGCCCTTCAGTTCTGGGAGCCACTTCGTAGCATGTCTTTGCACCTTTTCCAGTTTGTTGATGTGCTTCTTAAGATATGGGCACCACACAACAACTGCATATTCTAGCTTTGGCCTAACAAAAGTCATGAACAATTTCTTTAGTATATCGCCATCCATGTATTTAAATGCAATTCTGAAGTTAGAAAGCATCGCATAGGCTCCTTGCACAATATTCTTTATGTGGTCCTCAGGTGATAGTTTTCTATCTAGAACCACCCCTAGATCTCTTTCTTTATCAGAATTCTTTAAAGATTTCTCACATAATATATAGGTTGTATGGGGTCTATGTTCTCCTATTCCACATTCCATAACATGACATTTATTAACATTAAATTCCATTTGCCAGGTGGTGCTCCATATACTTATTTTGTCCAGGTCTTCTTGAAGGGCATGACAATCATCTAAATTTCTTATCCTTCCTATTATCTTAGCATCATCAGCAAACATGTTCATATAATTCTGTATGCCAACTGGTAGATCATTTATGTACACAATAAACATCACTGGTGCAAGAACTGAACCCTGTGGTACTCCACTTGTGACATTTCTCCATTCTGATACATTGCCTCTGATTACTGCCCTCATTTTTCTATCAGTCAGAAAAATTTTCATCCATGATAGAAGCTTACCTGTCACCCCTCCAATATTTTCCAGTTTCCAGAACAACCTCTTATGTGGAACTCTGTCGAAAGCCTTTTTTAGGTCCAGGATTATTTAGGAGTGTGGAAGAATAGAGTTCTGTGTGTGTAGGTGTTGGTGCTGGGAAAGATTAAGGATGACAGATATGGTCTGAGGAAACAAATTATTAACAGATAGGGTTCAAACACATCTAAATACTCTAGATATCTAGAGAAATTACAACTTCTTAGAGAGGTCTTTTCATATCCCATAACCTGCAGTAATGTGGACAAATACAAGTCAGTACAGTATATACAAATAGTTAAATCTACTGTATTAATAAATCTATAAAACATTAAATAATCACAACCATCACATTTACAATTAGATTTTAATTCCTTAAGAAATTGATTACATTAAACAAGAACTTTTTTATAGATGAGACATAACTTTTTTGGATAAAACTGCGTATGTAGAATGATGTGTATGGGGAAAGCTTCGGCATACTCACATGGTGTCGGGTGATGCTGCCTTGTCCTCTGTAGGAAGGTCTAGGCTGGGGTTAAGATCATCTTCACACACAGCACTCGCCAGGGAAGCCAGCAAGGTCAACACTCTTAAGAGAATGGCCTCATTGGTGGTCGCCACAACCAGTGTCGTCAATTTTCTTGGTCCCTAAAATTAAAAAACATACATCAAGGTTTGATAAGTAAACCACTTATTCTTTGCATACTCTATTGGTTTTCAAAAAATGAAATATAATCTAAGATCTTTCTCAAACATACTGTACTAGTGCTTGTAGTGCTTTCAAAACATAATACAGCAGGAGGGTCGTGATTTGTATAACTATTTCATTCCTGGAAAACCTGTGTAAGGCTCAAGCCATGCAAATCAACTTAACGGCACAGAGTATGGGAAAAATAGTTACATTGCAGAAACCTCCCAAAGTCACTAACACTGACTCAACTGATTGATCCCATATTCTACTACTGGACAATCCTGTCTTAACACTGTCTTAGACAACCCATCACTAATACAGCTTTCCTGACACTGATGGTGAGGGAAAGACCCAACACATGTAATTATCTAAGTGTAGTTACAGAATGAGAGCTATGCTTGTGGTGTCCCATCTTCCCAGCACTGTCATATAAAGCTTTGAAACTACTCATGGATTTGGCCTCCACCACCACCTCACTTAACCCTTAAACTGTGCATGGAGTATATATACGCCATGAGTAACATGTCCCACAGTGTGCATGGCGTATATATATATATATATATATACGCCATAGGGTGACAGGCACGATTCAAATGACCCACGGCTACACGGGGTTCACATTAGCTTCCTCAGGGCTCTTGTAAACAGACGCCATGTTTAAAAAAAATCGTGAGCAATATTCTCCGGTGTGAGAGCCACAGTACTGTTGGATCAACCAAGGCTGGCGTACGCACCATGAGCGAACAGCATTGCTGTTTAGCTTGTGACCACAGCATCGCAGAAAAATGTCAAAATAAATATATAACTGCTATTATTTAGCGATATCTAACTATATCAGCTTAGTTGTACAGATGTGGTGCACAAAACATATAGGTTAAATATAACATCTGTATATAGTGTAATAACACCACAAACGGTATTGTTGGGGGAGAAAGTTTAGTACGTGTGACCATGAATGAGTGTGGGAGGCAGATGCCAGCTGACTGTGTGTAGCGACGACTCTTAGTGTCTGAACTAACTATATCAGCTTAGTTGTACAGTTGTGTTGAACAAAGCATCTAGATACTTATATATAACGTCTGTATATAGTGAATAAAATAAAAAAACAGGATGGTGGGAGGAGAAAGTGGGCGAGTGAGGTGTTGTTGAGGGAGTGGCAATGAGTGGCTTGCTGGTGTGTGGCAGTCACTCCTCATTGCTTTTTGACTCTCAATACCAACTTAGTGGTTCGTTATGGTGAACAAAACATGCAGATACTTATATATAACCTGTGTATAGTGTGTAATAACAGCAAAACTATTTGTTTATTGTTTTATGAACATAATAATTGAATCGCTAATATGCACACCATACTTTTGAGTACAGCGATGATTCACCCCTTTTATTACATAAATATATCACAATACACACTACTGAACAATATTACTGCAAAAAACTAAGAAAAAATCAATCAGAGACATACCTTACCTTGAGGTTACCTTGAGGTGCTTCCGGGGCTTAGCGTCCCCGCGGCCCGGTCGTCGACCAGGCCTCCTGGTTGCTGGACTGATCAACCAGACTGTTAGACGCGGCTGCTCGCAGCCTGACGTATGAGTCACAGCCTGGTTGATCAGGTATCCTTTGGAGGTGCTTATCCAGTTCTCTCTTGAACAATGTGAGGGGTTTGCCAGTTATGCCCTTATGTGTAGTGGAAACGTGTTGAACAGTCTCGGGCCTCTGATATTGATAGAGTTCTCTCTCAGAGTACCTGTTGCACCTCTGCTTTTCAACGGGGGTATTCTGCACATCCTGCCATGTCTTCTGGTCTCATGTGATGTTATTTCTGTGTGCAGGTTTGGGACCAGCCCCTCAATTATTTTCCACGTGTAAATTATTATGTATCTCTCCCGCCTGCGCTCAAGGGAGTACAGATTTAGGCTCTTTAGTCGGTCCCAATAATTTAGATGTTTTACTGAGTGGATTCTAGCAGTAAAGGATCTCTGTACGCTCTCCAGGTCAGCAATTTCTCAAGCTTTGAAAGGGGCTGTCATTGTGCAGCAGTACTCCACTCTAGAGAGCACAAGCGTTTTGAAAAGTATCATCATCGGTATAGCATCTCTAGTGTGAAAAGTTCTTGTTATCCAACCTGTCATTTTTCTTGCAGTTGTGACGGCTACTTTATTGTGTTCTTTAAAGGTAAGGTCTTCCGACATGAGTACACCCAGATCCTTTACATTGCCTTTTCATTCTATGTTATGATTTGCCTGAGTTTTGCACGTGGTTTCCGTTTTTATATTTTCAATTTTTCCGTAGCGCATGAGCTGGACCTTATCCTCTTTAAACACCATATTATTTTATGTAGCCCATAGAAAGACCTGATCTACATCTGATTGGAGGTTTGCCGTGTCCTCTATGTTGCCAACTCTCATGAAAATCCTAGTGTCATCTAGGATTTTCATCATCATCTGTCATCTGTATCATCTGTATCACTTAGATGATACAGTGCTATAGGTTGTCTTCTTGTCTATGTCCGATATGAGGATGAGAAAAAGTACTGGAGCAAGCACAGTACCCTGGGGGACTGAGCTCTTCACGGTTGATGGGCTGGATTTTATTTTGTTGACTATTACACATTGGGTTCTGTTAGTCAGGAAATTGTCAGGAAATTGTCAGGAAAAAAATTGAAATAATTAGGTAATATCATCTTTGTGGCAACTCCCACCTGTGTGGGAGTTGCCACACAGGTGGTAATCAGGTGACCGATCAGGTGACGCTGACCAGCTCTGACGACCGCTCTGTCAACGCCCACTTTTTGCCAGACTTCCTCGGCTTATTGCGCCCAAAATATGTCACCTACGATTTTTTTATTATTTTTCCCGTGCTCAGTGAACACAAATTAACATTTTTAGAAGAATAAAAAATGTTTAGAATTTTTTTCTTGCGCACAGGGGTGTAAATCTCCTCAGGACCCCTTAGCAGCTTAAGGGTTAACTTGCACTCTGAGAGTTGGGACCCAAAGGATGCATCCATAGGTCCAAAGAGCCCCAATAGGCTTTTCCAGGGGCCCTTAGGCTTACTGCTAAGGAAAGCCCTTGCAAAGTATTGCTAACCGGTTGTGCCCAAACTACCAAAAGAACTGCTAAAAACCTAAACCCCTGCGACGTGTAAAAGCATGGGCGGGCTAGCAGAAGACCAACAATACAACAGAACGGCGGATAAACCATGGGGCAGACCCCCACCAGCCAAAATAAACAAAAGAAAGTAAAACGCCACGAAAGGACAATGTCCCCCAGGAGGAACAGAACCGGCCACCGTGTATAACGGGAGACAAGCTGCACAAATACCTTGCGCCCCTACTAGCAACAATACCACTTCCTACCCAAGGCCAAACAGTGGCAACAAGTACCCCAGCTGACCCCCAAGGGCAGGCAATTGCCGAGCAGCAAAAGACCCCCCTACCGAAGCGGTTCCCGAACGCCCTGTGGAAGATAACCCCCAAGACGCAAATGCAGTACTTATAGGGCGCTCGGGGAAGGTGGCTCTAAGAGCTTGCAGCCCCAGTACTGATTAATTACTCCTGGCCTGTGCACCACACACTGCAGAATACACCACAAAGCACAGAACTGCAAGAGTCAGAGGCCAAAGTCAACAACCGCTGCAGTCCACATCAGCCAAGGAACTGAAGGCTAAATGCTTATGAGTGGCATGACGGCATTAGTGACATTTGCTTGTTTTAGTTTAGGAGTTCTGCCTCCCTGTTTGGTTTTAGGTAGCAATTTTTACCATGTGGGGTTTGTTTTGTTACACCTTTCTGGGTGCCAAACCCCAGTTGATGGCAGACATGGAATGCATCCTAAAACATGGGAGTTTCCATAGGCCATTGCTTTTCGTGCCTCTCTGAGTGGGCCAGGTTCTGGCTCATGGTCCCTGGTAGGCAAAAACTCTACAAGAACATCTACATCATAATCAGAGACAATGTATCAGATTGGAGGAATGACACAAGTGGCCAGGTTCTGGCTCATGGTCCCTGGTAGGCAAGAACTCTACAAGAACATCTACATCGTAATCAGAGACAATGTATCAGATTGGAGGAATGACACAAGTGGAGTACCACAGAGTTCAGTTCGTGCACCAGTAATGTTCACTATCAACATAAATGATCTGCCAGATAGAATACAGTATTATATGAACATGTTTGCTGATGATGCTAAGATAATATGGAAGATAATAAACCTAGATGATTGTTATGACCTTCAAGAAGACCTGGACAAAATAAGTATATGGAGCACCACTTGGCAAATGGAATTTAATGTGAATAAATGCCATGTTATGGAATGTGGAATTGGAGAATAGAGACCCCACACAGCCTATAAATTATGTGAGAAATCTTTAAAGAATTCTGACAAAGAAAGGGATCTAGGGGTGGTTATAGATAGAAAACGGTCACCTGAGGACCACATTAAGAACATTGTGCGAGGAGCCTATGCTACACTTTCTAACTTCAGAATTGTTTTTAAATACATGGATGGCGAAATACTAAAGAAATTGTTCACAACTTTTGTTAGACCAAAGCTGGAATATGCAGCGGTTGTATGGTGCCCATATCTTAAGAAGCACATCAACAAACCGGAAAAGGTGCAAAGACATGCCACTAAGTGACTCCCAGAACTGAAGAACAAGAGCTACGAGGAGTGGTTAGAGGCATTAAATATGCAAAAACAAGAAGATAGAAGAAAAAGAGGCGATATGATCACTACGTACAAAATAGTAACAGGAATCGATAAAATTGATAGGGAAGAATTCCTGAGACCCGGAACTTCAAGAACAAGAGGTCATAGATTTAAACTAACGAAACAAAGCTGCCGGAGAATATAAGAAATTCACTTTTGTAAACAGAGTGGTAGACGGTTGGAACAAGTTAGGTGAGGTGGTGGTGGAGACCAAAACCATCAGTAATTTCAAAGCGTTATATGACAAAGAGTGCTGGGAAGACGGAACACCACGAGCGTAGCTCTCATCCTGTAACTACATTTAGGTAATTACACTTAGGTAATTACAGGGGTTCAGTTTTTGCACCAATAATGTTCATTGTCTACATAAATGGCCTACTAGAAGGAATACAAAATTATATAAACATGTTTACTGATGATACTTAGATACTAGGGAAGATAAGAAACTTAGACAACTGGCATGCCCTTCAAGAATACCTGGACAAAATAAGTGTAAGGAGCACCATGTGGGAATTTAATGTGAATGAATGCCAAGTTATGAAATATAGAATAGAAGAAAATAGACCACACACAACCTACAAATTACAGTGGCACCTCGACTTCCGATTGCCCCTACTTACGATAATTTCGAGTTAAGATGTAAATTTCATCGAAAAATGCGACTCTACATCCAATGGTGTTGTCAACTTCCGATATTTGTTAGTACACGTTCGGGTCGACCGAGCGCATGGTTCCCGGTCACGCTGTCTGACCTACCTCAGTTTACTACAGCTGCCCGCTTAGTGACGATCGCGCCTATAAGAAATTCCGCGTTTGTGGTGATTTTTTGCATTTTGAACATTAATTATTATATATCATGCCATGAGTTCCAGGAAAGTCAGTGGTAAAGTTCAACATATGAAAACCCATGTAAGGATGACCATAAAGCAGAAACAAGAGTACAGAATGTCTCTTCCTCAACAATTAAGAAAATGTGTGCAGCATGGGAAGAATTGCAAACTTTTGCTGAAACGACTCACCCAAATGAAGCTGCAGTAGGCCGTTGTCTTAACCTATTCAATGACACTGTGATGCATCATTACAGACAAATGTTAAAACGAAGGGAAAAACAAATGTCTCTTGACAAATTTGTAGTAAGACAAACAAGCCCTGAACCACAACCAGGTCCTAGTGGTATTCAGGCAAAACGTAGGAGAGAGAGTACCCCAGAGAAAACATCACTGCCTGATGTGATAATGGAAGGGGATTCCCCTTCCAAACAGTAACAACTCTCCTCCTCCCCCCTTATCACCATCTTCCATATGCCATCAAGAGCCTTCCATAAAGGTATGATAAACTTAGGTACTGTGTTGAAGTTAGAAAAAAACAGTGTTCAGTATAAAATGTATTTGTATGTTAATATTTTGGTGGATGGGGAACGGATTAATTCAATTTCCTTTATTTCTTATGGGAAAAATGACTTCGACTTACGATATTTCGACTTACGATCCATCTCTGGGAACAGATTAGCATCGTAAGTCGAGGCCCCATTGTATGTGAAAAAGCTTTAAAAAATCCTAATAAAGAAAGAGATCTAGTTGTGGTTCTAGATAGAAAATTATCACCTGAGGACCACACAAGGAACATTATGTGAGGAGCCTATGATAAGCTTTCCAATTTCAGAATTGCTTTTAAATGCACAGATAGTGAAATACTAAAGAAATTGTTCACAACTATTGTAAGACGAAAACTGGAATATGCAGCGGATGTATGTTGCCCATATATTAAGAATAAATGGTTCCCGGAACTGAAAGGCAAGAGCTATAAGATGAGGTTAGAGGCATTAAATATGCCAAAATTAGAAGACAAAAAAAAAAGAGGCGATATCATCTCTACATATAAAATAGTAACGGAAATCGAGAAAATTGATAGGGAAGAATTCCTGAGACCTGGAACTTCAAGAGCATGAGGTCGTAGATTTAAACTAAAGAAAGCTGCCAAAGAAATACAAGAAAATTCACTTTTGCAAACAGAGTGGTAGACAGTTGGAATAAGTCAAGTGAGAAGGTAGTAGAGGCCAAAACTGCCAATAGTTTCAAAGGGTTATATGACAGAGTGCTTGGAAGACAGGACACCATGAGCATAGCTCTCATCCTGTAACTACACTTAGGTAAATACTTAAGTAATTACAGGTGCAGCTGGTGGCTATACACCAGTCCAAATGAGAAACAGTGGCGGCTGGTCTTAGTTTTTCTTATTTCTAACTTGGGTTTTAGGCATTTCACCCTTTGATCATCTGTGGTGGAACTTCTGGGTTACAGACAATGTTTGCTGAACACTTTTCTGTATCTCAACTATACAAATGACTTAAGATACAACATGATCACAGAGGTACATTTTCTTACAGTCCTGTTACTTCTGCATGTACCTCATATTATCTGTCTATAGTCACTTCACTTAATTTGATGAAAATATAGCATACTGGAGTTTGGCCATTTGCAAGATATGATGAATAAGGACAAGCAGTTAACTTGATGGATCTAGAACAATGACTGTTTCTACTCATTAGCCAATAAACAAACCTGTAATTGGTGTTCTGGACAGGAATAGCTGGCTTGGTGCAGCAAGCATGCTCTAGTCAGCTCCAGTCTAGGATTGGCCAATCCCAGAGCTTCAATCTCTGCAATTGGCCAATCAACAACTGGCTATTCTGCAGGTGTCTAAGCCCAGTGGGTCGCTGTAGACTCATCCAAGGTGATGTGGGTCATGACATCTTTGATCCTCTGTTCATCGTTGAGGATGACTTGACCTCCTAATCTTCTTGCCTGAAGTAGAATACTCCTGTCAGTAGCCTTCCAAGATAGCCAGTTCCTGGTGTTGGCATCTAACAATGGAAATGCTACTCTTGCTCCATGATCCCCATTGATTAAATGCACGGCAGTTCTTGCAACATCAAATGCTGCTAGCATTATGGCCACTCAAAAGAGAGACCAAACAATCTAGGTTTTAATCCAGTACTAAGGGAGATAGACTTTACGCACCCACCTCTTTGCACTGTCAGCACACGAGGGAAGACTTCCTGACGTGCACCTTGCAGTTGCTCTACAATGTGCCACTTGGGAAACAGAGACCATTCTCTCACAGTCACCAACTGGCTTGTTACTGGAAGATGACTGGGAAAATATTACTTCAAGTGGTGGTGATTCTGCACTTTCTCAATTTAAGCTGGTACAAGTCTATGAGTAGACTTAGTGCATTAGATAATTTGGCAGCAACCACAGGTCTTAATGGGGTTTCTGGTACTTTAACTGGATGTTGGATGTTTCTTGTCCTTATGGTGGGCCTGTGTATGTCTTGGGCACCTTTCCAGTCACTGACCTCATCCTTTCTCAAGCCCCGAGTTTCCAGCCTTCTCACCCCATGGTTCAGCCCCTTCAGTCTTTGTTACTTCATTAATCTGTTTCTTTCAGCCCAAAGATGGGTTCCTCTCCGAGGCAACATTAGCAACATGCATCGAAAGTTACCGAAGACTAGCCGGAAATCAAACGTTGAATATAATGAAGCTCCCTTTTCTTGGCAGCCTCAGTAACTCTCTGTAACCACCTTTATTTTCCATAGGAATTAGGTGTGTTTGTAGGCAACACATCAGTGAGGAGGCAGACAAGCTGCACCCCTAAGCTGCCACCTGGAGGTGTACTTGGGTACTTGTGAATAGTTTGTTGACAATGGGCAAATTACCTCTCCCTTTTTTAATTTTCTCTCTCTCTAATTATGAGCACACCAGATGCTCAAGATTTGGACTTGCATAGACCTGGTGTTTGGTAGGCCTATGCCTACCAAAGGTATTTTAGTTTTGTGGATGTCTGGTACCAGAGCCAATGACCTTGGAAGCTAATGGTATCACCTTCAAATGGGCATTTCATAACACTCACTGCTTGGTATTTGTGTACTGCTAGTATTTCGGATCTCCCTGTAACTCGAATGAATGTCTGCCTCATATTACTGGCTATTATTTACTCATGACACGAATAATAGTGAAAACAAGAAATGAGAAAGCACGTGGCTTTACCTCGGCATCCAGCCATAACTCTGCCATCCACTTGTGATACAAATACTAGTGTGGAAACACTGAATGAAAAATCATGCTGCCTATGTACCTCGGCAGCCAGCAGTGAAGGAATCATCTCCCGGTTGCAAGATAGGTTGACCAGTAGTCTCAAACTCTGCAGCTGAATGTGGAGGTTCTTGCTGTCCACAAGATGATACAGTCTGTCAAAGCGAAGGATAAGGACTTTAAACTCACTCACAAATCAAACATATCTGATAAATCTTATGAAGTGTTAAATCCTAAAAATAAAATGTAATAAGAGCAATTTACAATCAAGTTTCAAAGATGGAAAAAATAGATGACATACAAGGGCATTCCATAATCCTTACCCATGTCTGATGGAAAACAAACATTGTACTGCTCCTGAGCCTTTAACTTGCAAAATACACTTCACCCTCAAAAATCTTAATTTCTACTTAAGACTAAATCTTCCCACCAGATTTTCCGTCTAAAAATTAAAATACAGAATCAGAAAAAAAAAACAGAATCCAAGAACCAACACTGTGAAAGTTTGGATCATTGTTTCATTGTGTAATTTCTATCAAATTGTGGTTTTACTTATATTTGCTAATGTTGCTCTTTTATAAATATTATTTAAAGTAATGTATCTATATTTTAAGAATGATTTACTAGGCCTGTATTGTACTATAAATAATACAAAAAGTTTTTTTTCCATAACATCCAGACTTAATTTGAGGACACACATACTAACCATGTAGTTTCCTTGTGTGCTAGATGGTCTGACCTGTTATTGCTCAAGCATTTTCATCGGTTTTTCTTCCAACATTTGCAAGGTGAAGCCATGTTGTGTGGCAAGAGTAGTATGGGTGCATCAGAGAAGGGTAAGAACTTCCTTCCCATGGATAATAAGGCTGAGTTATTAGAAGTGACATTAAAGCATTAAAACCTTTTCAGCATAAAGATTTGGATGTTGTTGGTTATCAATGTTACATGAAGCACTGTAATCTGTGGATGGATATTGGTATTGCATACAGCCTGTAGCTGAAAGGATGGCATTACCCATGGGCATGAGGACTTAAGGCCAGTTCATGTAAACAACAATAGTTTAACAGATGTCATGACAGTACTGTAAATACATTTTGCTGCTTCTGGGATATTATGACCTAAAAGAAGGTAGGTGACATATATTTTGTACTTTTAAACATATTCATTATTTTTAGGCACACAATCATTATTTCTGAACTCATTAGCTTTCCAGTGTATTGTCTTTAGAATCACAGACACAAAACAAATCTGCCAGACCTTTGGGCTGGTGCAAGCCTACCAACACCAGTATGTATCAGAATTTTGGTGTGCTTATGGAGGCCAAAAGAGCATGGTGACCTAAGATCAACCTCATAGCCAAATACTGTATAGCTTTCCAGAAAGCACAGGTGAAGCAAAATAATTATGTATCTCTATGAAAGAAAGAAAAGTTTCAAAACTTTTTAAAAACATTTTAATATTTTTTGGGTAGCAAAAACACTTCAAAATTGACACAATAGAATACAAAAGCAAAGTTTTTAAATCCAGAATTTGGAGTATCCTGAAAGGGTGCAGAATGAGTCTGGATTCTTTAGATTACACTATACAGTATATTAAATCTTCCTTCCATAATGTAATACTGTACTAACATTGTGGGAGAGGCTATGGGTAGTCTCTGTTGAGTGGCCTTACTTCCCACATCCTTTTGAGTTCTACAACCAGTCTTTATTTAAGCTAGAACATAATCTTTTGCCCTATAGTATATTACAAATCTTCCCCTCATTTGTTCACCTGTGCAAGAGTGGACAATATTTGTTGTGCCACTGAGTGACTAACCTGTGCAAGAGTGGACAGTACTCATCATGCCACTCAGTGATAGTGGCAATATTCGTAAGCACCACCAGAGATGCGAGTCGCAAGGCATCGTCTGCATGACTATTTTGAACGTAACTCATTAGTATAGGAAGGCAATCCTGGAAAAAAGAAGCGAAAGAATGGTAATAATCGAACTCTTTGAATAAGAGAATTCCAACTTTCAATCCAAAATATATTGCTAAAAGTTATTTAAACTACTGTAACTTGATACTCTCTATATATAACAAATGTATTTAGAACTTTAGTACTGTATTTCATTTTTATATACTAGGTTTTCTACTACAGAATATTCACAAAGTAACACTTTATGCCCACAAATTGAATGACCAATGACACATTTCAACAAGCTACTTGAAAAGTTTGAATACTATGCATCAAAGTAGTTTAAGACTACTATGATGCATAGTAGTCTTAAACTACTATGCATCATAGTAGTTTTTTTGTGAATAGTGGATATCTATCCACTATTCACAAAAAAATTACAGGTTTGTAATAAAGGCCCCCCCCCCCATTTGACTGAAGGCAAATGGGGAACCGAGCCCCCGAGACAAGTGCACCAGACAAAGACCCGGCACCTCCACATGCTCCTCAAGCCAGTCCAAGGACAGCTCGAGAGGGGAAAAGAAATGCAAGACCAAGGTCAAATGCCCACGGGTGCACAAATCCTCAGACACCAAGGAAACCGAAAGGGAGGGAACCTGTATGTGAAGCTGCACAAAGCCAACATCCTGAGGAAGCAGGGGCGAACAAACACACATTAACCATTGCATTGCACCAAACAACAAATGCTGTTTTGAGAGTTGTCCGTTTTTTAATTAGGTTGTATTTTAATGTTTTTTTAACGTTTTCATCACTTTTTGTGTTTTGAAATGAAAATAGTTGAGTTTGAAAACATTTTGACATTAACTTTACTTGAAAATTTATAAAAACAACAAAAATATTTCCTTACAGTGCAGAGGTTAAGGAGCTCAAACTTTCTTTCCCCCCCCCCCTGATAAATCTGCACAACAGTAAAATCTCCTTCCACTCAAGCGCGCGGGTCCGACAAAACCCATGCTACGACCCCAATGAAAAGAAAGGGGCAATCTGCCAGCCAGGAAGACTCCGGTACATCGTAACACACCCAATAGGTAAAGTAGAACTGAACTCAAAAGAAAACAAATCCATCATCGAAGCGGAATCTGGGTCTCACAGGAGGTAAGCCCCGAGAGCCTCTCGCACCTCTTTAGGCAGGATTTGAGAAGCCGAAAACCTCCAGAAAAAAGGAACTAAAGAACCCAAAGGATCCCGCAACCAAACCCAGGGAGTAGCCAAACCCAAATCATACTCATATAGGAAATTGGGATAAGAAAACCCCTCCCCCCTTATAACAAAAAGCCCCGTGACAAGGGTACTAACACCCAAATGGGATCAAATGGGGCCCAGGCACCCCAAGTCACCTCCTCCCCAGCCCCAGAATCGTCCACACCAGGATCCGGGGCAGAGCCATCCTGCACACCCTCAGCCCCTGAAGAAAAGGCTGAGTCCAGGAAGAAAGGCTGAGAAGAAGGAGGGTCCACTGGTAAGACCCGAAAACCTTAGCAGGAGGAGCACGCTTGAATGCCTCTGTTTCCAACCTGGATGGGGCAGCCCCTGAAGCCGCCCAAGTCTCACAACCATCTAAACCCAGCCCTGACCCCAAAACCCTCACACTTTTTGGGATTCAGGAGTAGAAATGGGGAAAAGAGCAGGACGAACACCAACCAGGGAAGGACTCGGGAGTGGGGACGAAACCAAAGTTTAAGCAACTTACGCCCCCAAGTCTGGGTCCCTATAACCCAAACGGGACAGCATCAGGGCATCCGAATGAGCAACCAACCTAGCGCGCAGCAGCAACCAATACTTTGCATGCAATGCCGAAGCTGCCTGTACCCAAACATCAGTATCAGTGGAATGGGTAAACTGAAGTACAAGCAAGGAACACGACTCACAAGACTTCTGGTCAAGGGTGTCATTGACCCAACAGTCACCATGACGGAAGAAAAACAAGTGAATGTCACCCTGCGACAAGAGAACAGAGCAACCTTCAAACTCGCAGTCAGTGAGTTGGAACCCAGAGGATGTGTCCATTGGCCCAATGAGCCCCAATGGGGTTTTCCATGGCCCCTTAGGCAGACTGCTAAGGGAAGCCTAGACAAGAAACTGCTAACCGGTTAGGCCAAAACTACCGAGAGAGCTGCTAAAAACTGAACACCTGCGACATGTGCAATCACAGGGCCTAGAGGAACACCGATACAACAGAAGGTGGATCAGAACCAAGGGGGCAGATCCACACCAGGCAAAATAGACAAAAAGAAAAAGAAAAAGAAAACCCCGCCAAAGCACAACATCCCTAAAAGGAACAGAACTGGTCACTGTGTAATTGCCTAAGTGTAATTACCTAAGTGTAGTTACAGGATGAGAGCTACGCTCGTGGTGTCCCGTCTTCCCCAGCACTCTTTGTCATATAACACTTCGAAAGTACTGATGGTTTTGGCCTTTACCATCTGCTCACCTACCTTGTTCCAACCGTCTACCACTCTATTTATGAAAGTGAATTTTCTCACGTTCCTTTGGCTGCTTTGTTTAGTTAGTTTAAATCTATGACCTCTTGTTCCCGAAGTTCCAGGTCTCAGGAAGTCTTCCTTATCAATTTTATCGATTCCTGTCACTATCTTGTAGGTAGTGATCATAGCGCCTCTTTTTCTTCTATCTTTTAGTTTTTGCATATTTAATGCCTCAAACCTCTTCTCGTAGCTCTTGCCCTTCAGTTCGGGGAGCCACTTAGTAGCATGTCTTTGCACCTTTTTCAGTTTGTTGATGTGCTTCTTAAGATATGGGCACCATACAACCACTGCATATTCTAGCTTTGGCCTAACAAAAGTCGTGAACAATTTCTTTAGTATTTCACCACCCATGTACAGTATTTAAAAGCAATTCTGAAGTTAGAAAGCGTAGCATAGCCTCCTCGCACAATGTTCTTTATGTGGTCCTCAGGTGATAGTTTTCTATCTAGAACCACCCCTAGATCTCTTTCTTTATCATAAGTCTTTAAAGATTTTCCACATAATTTATAGGTTGTGTGGGGTCTATGTTCTCCCATTCCACATTCCATAACATGACATTTATGTACATTAAATTCCATTTGCCAAGTGGTGCTCCATATACTTATTTTGTCCAGGTCTTCTTGAAGGGCATTACAATCATCTAAGTTTCTTATCTTCCCTATTATCTTAGCATCATCAGCAAACATGTTCATATAATTCTGTATTCTATCTAGCAGATCATTTATGTAGACAATGAATATTACCGGTGCAAGAACCGAACTCTGTGGTACTCCACTTGTGACATTTCTCCAGTCCAATACATTGCCTCTGATTACTGCCCTCATTTTTCTATCAATTACAAACTTTTTCATCCATGTTAGAAGCTTACCTGTCACCCCTCCAATATGTTCCAGTTTCCAGAAAAACCTCTTATGTGGAACTCTGTTCCCTGAAAGTTGAAGTCCCCCAGTACTAATAATCGGGATTTATCTTTTGTCTGCTCTTACCATAATCTCTCTCTATAATCATAATCTCTGTGTATAATGAGAGACAAGCTGCACAGTACCTTGTGCCCCTACCAGCAATGACACCACCACCTACCCAAGGTCAAATAGTGGCTATGAACACTCCAACTGGCCCCAAGGACAGGCAATTGCCTAGCAGCAAAAGACCCCTACGGAAGCGGTTCCCGAATGCCCTGTGGAAGATAACCCCAGAAAGCAAAGGCAGTAATTACATAGGGCTTAGGGAAGGTGGCCCTAGGCACATGCAGCCCCAGTACTGATGAATTACTCCTGGCCTGCACACCGCACTGCAGAAATACACCACAAGACACAAAACTGCACTGAAACAGAGGCCAGAGTCGACGACTGCCACAGTCGGACATCAGCCAAGAACTAAATGGTGGAGCAGCTCCACCCTCCCTCCTCCCAGTGGGAAGGGGAGTTGAACGGATGAGCGCCACAACAGTGGGTTAAGATGTTTGCTTGTTTTAGTATTTGGGGAGTTCTGTTTCTCTGTTCAGTCTTCGGTAGCAATTAAAAAAATTTTTACCATGTGGGGTTTGTTTTGTTATGCCTACCTTTCTGGGTGCCAAACCAAAGTCGATGCAGACCTGGAATGCTTCCAAATACATGAGGATTTCCACAGGCCATTGCTCCTAGTACCTCTCTGAGGGGGCCAGGTTCTGGCTCGTGGTCCCCGGTAGGCAAGAACTCCAATCGACTGATACCACAGTCTAATATAAACATTTCAGCCCAGTAAGCTCCGAGGAGCCATAGGGGCTCCCCACAGAAAACCCCCAGATTTCAAAAACTTTACTAATTTTGTGCACACCATGGAGGCCTGACAGCTGAGTGGACAGCGCTTCAGATTTGTAGTCCTGAGGTTCTGGGTTCGCTTCCCATTGGAGGCAGAAACAAATGGGCAGAGTTTCTTTCACCCTGATGCCCCTGTTACCTAGTAGTAAATAGGTACCTGGGAGTTAGACAGCTGCTACCGGCTGCTGCTTGGGGATGTGTAACAAAAAGGAGACCTGGTCGAGGACCGGGCCGCAGGGACGCTAAGCCCCGAAATAATCTCAAGATAACTCAAAATAACTGTGAGGTTGCCAGACAGTAGTTATTGGGTCCATGGATAAATATTAACCATGGAGCCATATTTAACCTTCAAGGGTTAATATGATTCCAATTACATTTTTAATGATTTTTGAAGATCGGACAACATTACAAGAAATACTAAAGGGCCTTTAGTAAAGCTACTGAGCACATTTAAAGCCAAATTCTATATTTAATTCTAATTTTGAGATTTCCTAGTTTTCGTTCACAAATATTGGTCCTTTTTCCTTTCAAAACAAGGTTTCAAGGCTAAGGCATGGGAAATATGAAAGATGTAGTTAAATCTCCTTCCAGACAGGTTTTCTTGGGAGTTGTCCTTCAAATGACAGATTGAAATTAAAATTTTGCTCTGTGAAATCAGCCCATAGAGCATGGGAAATATTAAGGTATAAACGGTAACTGTTAATGTGGCTCAAATCTCATTTTTTATATTTCTTGTAGATGGACTCAACATTACAAGAAACAGTTGGAGCCTTGGGAAAGCTATTGAGAATATTGAAACTAAATTCTATGGTTTGTTTTCATTTTCAGGTGGGAAGATTTTCATTCACTTAGGTATAGCCCTGCTACCTTTTGAAAATGAGTTTTGAGGATAGGGATATGAGAAATCAGCAAAATGCAAAAAAAAATTAGCAGATGTGTTCATTTGGTAGTTGTCTATTATATTATAGGTTGAAATGAAAAATTATTAAGTGAAAATTAGCCCATAGGGCATGGGAAATGCATCCTAGAGGCATCTCCAGTTGCAACAAATCCCTCACTGCAATGAATTGGATTTGGTCCCATATAGTTAGTTCGTGGAACCGAGGCTGTACTGTAGTTAACTACTCACTCAATAACTCACTGACATACTGTGTATCTTAGTGTGCCAATGACTTGTGAGGATTAATTAAGTACTAAAACACCCAATTCACTGCTAAACATGAAGAAAAAGTCTCAATACTGCAAATGGAACATAAAAAGTCACTAAACTCGCATATTAATGATGTGGAATGGTGAGTCATCTCCTTCCCTCTTCCATTCCCACCTCTCAATTACTGCTCCATCCACTTTATGCACCTCTCCAACTCAATGCCAGTTAAACACCTCCCGTGACCTCGCTTTTATCTACCTCAACTTGCTATCTAAAACTTTCATAGTTTTGATGTGATAATGGCCCATGACGAATATATATATTACCACATTTCAATGTTTCTGAGGCATGAGTTTAATTGTTATTTGTTGAACTGCTTAAAAGTGTGAATAAATTAAAATCTTCAACAAAAACACAAATACAGTACGGTAGCACGATATTAACGAGCCTACATGAAAGACCAATAGACATCATTAAACACAGCTAAATTTAATGCCACAAGAAGGTAACTTTAAACTCACTCTGGCCTGCCTTATGTTTTCTTCTGACAGGACCACGTTCCCCAGAGTCTGGACTGCTGGTAACCGAACCTCCGCATCACCAAGAAGGCTCGTCAACCGATGGATACAACCTGTCTCTCGCAAAAAATCCTGTAAATTGCACAGCTTATTTAGTAAATCATGCTTATGTTATGATTTACTAAAGAAAATCCTACAAACTAAGTAGAAAAGCAAGAATATATAAAACTGCAGAAAACCTATTCACCCATGTGAGGCACCTCCAATTTATACTCAATTAAAATTTAAAGAATCCAGTGTTCCCATATGATTTGAACATTCTGGATTACAAAGATGTCACCCTTATTTTTAATGTACTGTACTTTTGAAGGCTTCCCCTTATGTGCTCAATGGAGAATTATTTGCCCCTGCCCTTCCTTGTAATGTGTGTTCATGACAGCTTTATTGAGAGGTTTCAAAATTATTAGTGGCTGTTATCACTCTGGTTAACAATACTTGGACCCAATTAGCAGAGATTCTCCATATTTGTGCTATTACAATATGAAAATGCTCTTGGTGCAAATATGTGCCAATGTGGGTTCCAATAATTTTAGTTCCTGTTCCTCCTTATTTACAGTGGTATCTGCTTCATACACCCTGCCAAAAGTTTTTGCTGCACTCCTGTGTGTTGTCATGGCATTTCTATTGTGTTGAGCATACTGGCATGGAAGCTTAGATCACCTTTAGTGCTTTCTCTCTTTTCTATCCTCTCACTTTCTTTATCACACTCAGCTCAGACTTCCCTTTTTAAGTCTGCTTTCTTGCTGGCTCTAGCTTCTGGTAATCTAATTTGCAAACTTCATGTTCTTTGCCACAAAAAAAAAAGGGTTTGTTCCTTTTGTCCTGGGAAGTTCTTCTTCTCATCTCCACCCTCCTTTACTCCTTTTAGCTAAGAATGAATCCTTTGCTTTTCGAAGGAGTCATCTAGTGGTGGACACTTCATTTGTCAAGCCTGAGATGCACCATGCTCTCTATTCTGCAGCCATAATGATATTATTTGTGTTATGTTCCCAAGCTTTTTATCAATCTCATTTTCATGGTGCCTTGTTCTAGGGCCAGGCTTTCTCTAGTTATTTATAAATTGGTTAGAGTCAGAGTCAGCCAAATTAATGAGCATCAGAGTAAACATGTGTACAGGTATGCTGTTATATGCTACAGTATCTTCTTTACTAATGTGACTGGCAAATATTTGGGCACAGGGTTTGTGGCAGTCTAAAAGTTTTGGTTGCTCATTACCTTCTGGATATTCCATGTTCTTGCCAAGCCTGTGTGGCACTTGGATGCCTTTTCAAGTTACTGATTTCATCTTTACCCATGCTCTGGGCTTTTGGTCTTTTCACCCCTTCCCACAAGTCAGCCCTCCATATTGTTTTTCTATCTTAATGACAGTTTTCTCTCTTAAGTACTACTGGGACTATGCACTGTGAAGCAACTGATGGCTAGCCCGGAAATCAAGCAGCCTCAGGAACTCTCCGTACTCACCATCCTTGCCCTTCTTCCCAATGGGAACCAAGTGCATTATGGCAACAGCATATGAGTGAAGCAAGCAGGCAGGTTGAACCCTTGAGTGACCTGAGCTGCCACCTATGCTAGTTGTGAGAAGGTTGGCTGGGTGTAATTACCCAAGTGTAGTTACAGAATGAGAGCTACGCTTGTGGTGTCCCGTCTTCCCAGCACTCTGTCATATAATGCTTTGAAATTACTGACAGTTTTGGCCTCTACCACCTTCTCACCTAACTTGTTCCAACCGTCTACCACTCTCTTTGCGAAAGTGAATTTAGTTAGTTTAAATCAATGACCTTTTGTTCTTAAAGTTCCAAGTCTCCGGAATTCTTCCCAGTCAATTTGATTGATTCCTGTAACTATTTTGTATGTAGTGATCATATTGCCTCTTTTTCTTCTATCTTCTAGTTTTGGCATACAGTATTTAATGCCTCTAACCTCTCCTCGTAGCTCTTGTCCTTCAGTTCTGGAAGTCACTTAGTAGCATGTCTTTGCACATTTTCCAGTGTTGATGTGCTTCATCAACTTGGACACCAAACAACTGCTGCATATTCCAGCTTTGGCCTAACAAAAGTTGTGAACAATTTCCTTAGTAATTTGCCATCCATGTATTTAAAAGCAATTCTTAAGCTAGAAAGTGTAGCATAGGATCCTCACACAATGTTCTTTATATGGTCCTCAGGTGATAGTTTTCTATCTAGAACCACCCCTAGATCTCTTTCTTTATCAGAATTCTTTAAAGACTTCTCACATAATTTGTAGGTTGTGTGGGGTCTATGTTCTCCAATTCCACATTCCATAACATGGCATTTATTAACATTAAATTCCATTTGCAAAGTGGTGCTCCACATATTTGTCCAGGTCTTCTTGAAGGGCATGACAATCATCTAAGTTTCTTACCCTTCCTATTATCTTAGCATCATCAGCAAACATGTTCATATAATTCTGTATTCCATCAGGTAGATCGTTTATGTAGACAATGAATCTTTATTGGTGCAAGAATTGAACCCTATTGTTTGCCACTTATGACATTTCTCCAGTCCAATACATTGCCTCCAACTACTGCCCTCATTTTTTTATCAGGTAGAAAAATTTTCATCCATGTTAGAAGCTTACCTGTCACCCCTCCAATATGTTCCAGTTTCCAGAACAACCTCTTATGTGGAACTCTGTCAAAAGCCTTTTTTAGGTCCAGATAGATGCAGTCAACCCAACCATCTTTTTCCTGAAAATCTGTGGCTAGATCATAGAAACTGAGTAAATTCATTACACAGGATCAAAAACCATACTGTTCGTCTGATATATCATTTTTCTCCAGGTGTTCTACCCAGTTACTTTTAATTATTTTTTCCAATATTTTGACTATTACACTTGTCAATGATACAGGTTTATAATTGAAGGGGTTTTCCCTGCCGCCACTTTTGTAAATTGAAACTGTTAGCCTTTTTCCACACATCTGCTTCAATTCCTGTATACAGGAGTGCCTGAAAAATCAGGTGACGTGGAATGCTGAGCTCAGATGCACATTACCTCAGAACCTATGGTGAAACTCCATCTGTGCCAACTGCTTTCTTACTTAGCTCCAAGAACATTTGTTTCACTTCATCTCTAGACACCTCTATGAGCCCTATGTTGTTCTCTGGAATTCTTATTGTGTCTGGTTCCCAGAAGATTTCATTTTGTCTAAACACACTTTGGAACGTTTCTTTTAATATTTCACACATTTCCTTTTTATATTCCGTGAATCTGTTTCCCATTTCAACCTCTGAATATTATCCTTTATCTGCAATTTGTTGTTAATGAATTATAGAATAAGCCTGGTTCTGTTTTACATTTGTCCGCTATCCTTTTTTTTTTAAATTCTTTCTCTCTCCTCACTGTCGGGTAGTTGTTGATACAATTACAGTGATACAGCAGGATGTTTCATGATATGCCTCACCAAGTTTGAGATGTTCAGTTGCAGCTTGAAGATTACAAATTAACTATTGGTGGAAGAAAGAAATGTTAATGAGTTAAAGAGATAAAAGAAAATACTCATATCCAATGTGGATGGGCTTACAAGTCTAATGTACTGAAAGAAGTGGATGCAACCTCTATGTTTGAAGAGTGAATATGATAGTGAACATAGCCTCTAGAATATCTAGAGGCTTAAAAGCAGTAAACATCATTTGCTAAGGAGTTTGGGTCCAAACAGCCAGATCATCTTCCCCATAAACACCGGTGGGTAACAATAAGTAGTTACCAGCGAGTGTCTTTTAATAATAAACAACTGCCTAGTTGCTTGGCTCTCACTACATGTCACTTACAAGTCCCAAACAACAGTGCCCTCTTTAATCATTAATATTTACAAGAAAATCATGATGTAGTTCATGTGGGAAATCATGAAAAAAATACAGAATCTTATGAGAAATTGCCTAAGCATGGAGATATGATAAGGAGTAGGTAATTCAGAAAATGAGTGTTTTAGGTGGCATGAGAGAGTAATAAAAATCAATGAGGTGTAGTCACTTGATTAATAAAGTATGAATTAGCATTCATATTGCTATTATACTAGGCTACATTAAATTATTAATATTAACATTATAATTTTTATTATATATTTGATCATTATTTATACATTCCTTATTATTATACAGTTACATATCTGATTGGTTACAACATGTGGATAATAAATGTGGACAATACTGGACAATTCCTTATTATTATTATATTTATTTTACACTGATTTTTAAATTATGTTTTCAATTATAGTATTAGTTATTTTCAGTTATATTTCCAAATGTTTCTAGAAATGCTGTCATTACTCTAAAGCATAAATTACCAAGTTAACGCTGAATGCGGCACAGTTGGCAATGGTAACTAGCGTCCTCTCCACTAGTGTCTTGTCCTCCGAGTACAGCAGTGCCACTAGGCTCTTGGCTTCATATGGCGTCAACACCCTGAAACAAACGTACCTACTCGATGTTGGAGAATTTGTTAAGCATGAGAGTAACTCCATGCAATTATTTCTACTTGTAGCCCGAGGAATAAAATAGTCATACAAAATACTGTATCTTAAAGGATCGACTGAGTGATTATCCATTACGGTATAACCTTACTGGATGGATTAAAAAATTATGTAATACAGAGTATACCATAAGGCTGATTGGGTGATCAGGTCTTATATCTCAAAGTACTGACTGACCTATTATCTAATGTATCATATAGGCCTTGATTATTCAATGTATTCCAAAGGATTGATTAAATGATAATCCAATATATTCAGCACAATTGATTGGATGATAATTCAATATAGTTTCAGCACATTTGATTGGATGATAATCCAACATATCCAACTACTGTAGAATGACTGGCTGATTATCTAAAGTACTATGCAGAGATAGTGATTCATCATATCCAAAACAGTCAATAAAGTGACTAGAAACCTCCAGCAACATGGTTCATACACAGCTTCACCAATAATTCAACACATCTGCAGTTCTCATATCACTTTACTCTGGGTTCATGAATTTATAAGGCAAATTATTTTATTTAATCTAATAGAATTATGAAATGTTGAAACATTATTGAAAGGCAATTCACATATATTCCTTCTCTTATATTTTGTAATCCTAATATACATATTCTTCATCATTAATAATTATTTTTCCTGACTCAAATTTGTAAAAATTTGTCCTTGACAATTGCACCAAGACGTTTTTGCCGAAAATCACCTCCCTGACTCAAAATATCACTCTCCTAAGTACAGTACCACCACTTCTGTGAAGCTGTTAGATTTAATGAAGCCCATGCATAAAACATTACCTCCAAATACTTACAGTATATCTCAACCTAATATTTGTTGCTAGCCATCACCCACGCAGGGAATGAGTCACAACAACGTGGCTGAAGATATGAAGACTAAACCACACACCAGAAGATGAGGAGACGACGACATTTTGGTCTGTCCTGGACCACTATGTAATGTAAGCTTTCTGTCTTCTTATCTTCCCAGTGATCTATGCATTATCTTGCTTCCTATCACTTTTGACACTTCTCACCTCTCCTCTTCTCACCACTCCTCCACACTACACAACAAATTTCAACGTCTGATTTCCAACAGTACTTGGGCTAAATACTCTCTCTCTGATTGTGTTACCAACCTTTCTTCTTACCCTCTCTCTAAGCACAAGCAAGAACTTCTTGGACTTGGTCTCTCTTTTGCTACTTCCCCTGGCCCTCACTGTGGCATTGACCTCATTAATTCCTTTGATAAGTTTGTAAATTCTAACTCTGGTACAATTTCGAACTTGTCTGCCTTCAGAGGGGCCCTTATCCATGTTCTTGACAGTTTGCTTTCTAAAAATTACCACCTCCCTCATCACTTCCAGCTTGCCCTTGCCTCCCTGAAAGCTAACAACTCTATTCTTATCCTTTCTTCCAACAAAGGTAACTCGATGGTTCTCCTTGACCATGTGGATTACCTCCAGAGAGCTGATGTCTTGCTCTCTGACTCCCACACGTATGCTCCTTTGGCTTCTAACCCTTTGGATCGCCTTAAAACTTCCTTCAACTGCAAACTAAGACAGCTCTCTAGTCTTTGTCTTCCCGACTTCGATCTAATAAAACATTTCCGTGTTATCTGCCCTTCTCTTCCTTATTTCTATAGTCTACCTAAGACTCATCAACCTGGTGTTCATCTTTGTCCTATCATTTCTTCAAGGGGCTGTCGGCTATCCTCTTGCCTCCTGGCTTGATAAAACTCTGATTCCTTATCTTGGTATGTTTTTTCCCTTCCTGCCCACCTTCATCACTTTCAGGACTTCGTAGCAAGACTGTGCCTGCAGCCCTCCTGTAAGATGTTTAGTCTTGATGTAGACTCTGTTTACTAATGTTCCTCTTGGTGATGTTCTATCTTTCCCTAGTCATAAGGCAACTGAGGGGTCTTCTTCATCTCCTGCTCCCCATTGATGTTTTCCTTGAATTCATCTGACTAACTATTTCTCTTTCAATGGAAAATACTTCTCTCAAACTTTCGGTGTCGCTATGGGTTCTCCTCTCTCCCCTGTTCTTGCCAATCTCTATATGGAATATTTCAAAAGAGTTCTTCCCACTATTGATACTCATCCCTCTCTCTGGCTTTGCTATGTTGATGATATTTTTGCCTAAAGCCTTACGACCTTAGTCTTTTCCAGCCTTTCCCCTCCACTCTTAACAATATAGCTCCTTCTATCCATTTCAAAGTTGAATGGGAATCTAACTTCCTCCTTTCTTTTCTTGACATTCATGCTCACAGCTCTGTGTCCTGTTTCTCTTTCTCTGTCTACCGCAAACACATGCATAGTGGTATGGACATTCATTTCTTTTCCTACCATCTTCCTTGTGTTAAGAAAAGTGTTCTCGTCTCTCTCTTCTCTCGCCTTGGTTACCCTTTACATTTTATCAACTGTGCCTATTCTCAAGTTAAGCAAAATTTCTTTCATCCCAAACCTGTTTCCAACACTATTAGCACTGTGCTCTGCCTTCCCTTCATATCTGAACTCCAAAATCTCACTAATACCCTTCGTCCTCTTGACATACAAGTTCGCCAATCGACAAACTAACACTCTTCATAGTAATCTGGTTCACACTGCTCCTCCTGCTTCTAATGCTGCTGGTGCCTACTCTATTTCCTGTTCGTCTTGTTCTCTCCAATACTTTGGGGAAACTGGCTGTACACTAAATGACAGACTTAAGAAGTCGATAAAGATAAAAGAAGTGCTAAGTCTGCAGACACAAACAATGCTTTCTTCTGTCATGTTAGGGATTCTAGTCATCCTATTGATTGGTCTTCTAAAATACTAAATATTTTTAAATATTTAGTAAATACTTTCTAAGTATTTATAAGTAAGTAAAAGTGAAAATACTAAAGTAAAATACTTTCCTGCCTCTACTCTCCAGACGCTGTCTTGTCGAATCAGCTCTAATACACAACCTACCCAACATGAATCTTAGTCCTGGCTTTGTTACTGTTGACTCTTGCCTGTCACAGTACATACTCAAATGATCTAACCATTCTAACAAACGTGACCTAACATAAGCCTACCCATCCTTTTTTACTTTCTTTTTCTGTTTCTTTCTCATCTTATTCTTACTTGCCCATTCTTATAGTGCACCCATTATTACTCCCCCCTCTCTTTCTTACACCCCTATATTACACCCATCCTTTTGCCTTGCTCTTACCTTCCTCTAGGAATTTCCTCCATCACATCTCCCCACTTCTCTCGACTTACTTAATGCCCGTGCCTCCCTTGCTCCCCAAGTTACAGTCCTGCTCCTGTGCCAGGTAAGTCCACTACGGGCTCATCATAGCCCGTGCTACTTGCAACTATTTGTTTCGAGTAACTGAATCTAAAACAACAACCCCCACCTTGTTCCCATCACAATCGACTTGATAATGGTCCAGGACGGACCAAAACATTGTCTCCTCATCTTTTGGTGTGTGGTTTACTCTTCATAGCCATCACACATTTTTTGCTAGAAAGGTCTATACTATAAAACTCCCACCAAACAACTGCTACTAGCCTGCTGTAATGGATGTGCTCACCTGCCCCTGGTGCTGAGGTTCTCCAATCTCTGCGTCAACTCTGGTTTGGTGGTGTTGTACAGCTGCCGTGCCTCCTCCTCCACTCTCCGCTGCCGCTGTTTTCCATCCGGGTCACTGTTTTGCTCGGCCTGCTTCTTCTTCCGTAAACTTTTGCGTACCCATTTTGGCCTGTTGTGACACACAAAATTAACAAAAACTCTAGAATTTCCTCGGGAATTTTTATATTCCTTGCCCTATGCAGCTCTCTTGCTTTCTCCAGTACAAAGGTTGTAATAAATGCATTCAGTTTAAAAGGAGAAATAATAATAATGGTCAAAAAATTAAAGCACATCAAATGACAGCATAGAACAATGTCAAATATGGAGGGCAAATGTGAAAGTCAAGCCCAAATGAAGTATTAGCCAGGACCCTTATAGAATGTAAAGTTGGGCTTAGTGAACCCTTGTCTTGCACATTTTATAAATTGTTAGTCAAGTAGAGTACTAGTATCATTGAGGATTGCGAATAAATTGCTAGTTATAAAGATGGGATGGTTACAGTACCTGTGGGACAATAGCAGCATGCTCGCCCTACACCTCGTAAGCAATTTTAGCCACGTTAGAGCCCTGGGTACGATCAAATAGGCACCGATAAAAATACACGTGGAAAATAATTGAGGGGCTGGTCCCAAACCTGCACACAGAAATAACATCACATGAGACCAGGAGGCATGGCAGGATGTGCAGAATACCCCCGTTGAAAAGCAGAGGTGCAACAGGTACTCTGAGAGAGAACTCTATCAACATCAGAGGCCCGAGACTGTTCAATACGCTTCCACTACACATAAGGGGCATAACTGGCCGACCCCTCACAGTGTTCAAGAGAGAACTGGATAAGCACCTCCAAAGGATACCTGATCAACCAGGCTGTGACTCATACGTCAGGCTGCGAGCAGCCGCGTCCAACAGCCTGGTTGATCAGTCCAGCAACCAGGAGGCCTGGTCGACGACCGGGCCGCAGGGACACTAAGCCCCGGAAGCACCTCAAGGTAACCTCAAGGTAACCGATCCTTAAACGTTCATAATTATTTCAAAGGAAGCAGAGGCTTAGCATAAATGGAGTTAAGACTGAGTGTGAAATTGTTGCAAGTAGACCTCTGTTGTTTATCATACAGTGGGAGCTCACTGTCCCTGGCAATCAATTTTGTTCAATTTCTCCAATGTACTGGCACTGTGGGAGAAGTAACATCATTCAGAGAAACATGCTGGTGCCTATCACTGAGATAAGATCATATGTACTAAAGGAAGTGACTCCTGATGCCACACTGATACCATTTAAAAAGGTTATTGTGATTAACGGTGTCAAAGGCATTCTAAAGACCAACAAAGAGTCCTATTGGGTATTATTGAAAGTATAAAGCAAATGTATCAAGTCATATATATTTATTGTGGTGTTGGTGCTTTTCTGCAGGTCTGAAGCCATACTGACAATAGCTAAGTATGTCATGTTTGGCTAGGTGTGTGTGAAGCTGTTTGTATATCAGTTTCTCAAATAGTTTCAATAATGTGGGTAGGATTGATATTGGTCTATAGTTGTTAATGTAAGTGTGACGCCCACTTATATGGACTGGGGTTACGTGGCTTTAATGATAAATTCAATTATACAGCAACATTTCAGATGGAAACAATCACAGAAAAAAATAAGTTATAGAACATTTGATGGACTGGCCAGACATTCCTATACAAGTCAAACCAAACAAGGCAAGTATTTGAAATGTGCCTATCACATCGAGAGGCCTGTATGTGCAGATAGTATCTCGACTAAATTTTGTATCCTGACCTTCAGATATACAGAGCAGATGAAAACAGTGTTGCTTCAAAGTGTAAATAGGGAAAGCCCCAGGTGATCTCAGGCCTTTACTTGCCACCCACAACATTTGCACATGGACCTGATGATGTGATGCCATTTTTGTGATTATACAGATTTACATGATTTTTTAGATTATTTACCCCATTCTCCTGTTTTGGTAGTACTTATAGTAATGATGAGGATCACAGTATATATACATACTGACGAACAACACAATTAAAAAGTAGTAATCGGTACTATTGAATTTGGACAAACCAGAAAAGATTTTCTGTTACAAAGACAAACTAAACTAACCTAATCTAACCTTCCTAGGCCTTAAACATGATATCTGAAGATTAATAAAGTACATGTGTGTGCAATACTAGGCCTAGGAATATTTAAGTTTATTTTTTACCTTCATTTTTTTTAACTCTATAAAGTGAATAATACTAAATTCTGCCATCTAATTGCTTAGTATGTCAATCTTTGTACTATGGTGCACATAGTTACAAGAACTACTATCTAAACAGGAGGATGGGTTGGATTATTTTCAGTAGAGTGCAAGAGTTAAGGAGCAAATACAACCAAGTGAATTGGGAAGGGCGCCTGATAGCTGAGTGGACAGTGCTTCGGATTTGTAGTCCTGAGGTTCCGGGTTCGATCCCCGGTGGAAGTGGAGACAAATGGGCAAAATGTTTCTTTCACCCTGATGCCCCTGTTACCTAGCAGTAAATAGGTACCTGGGAGTTAGACAACTGCTACGGGCTGCTTTCTGAGGGTGTGTAACAAAAAGGAGGCCTGGTCGAGGACCAGGCCGTGGGGACGCTAAGCCCCAAAATCATCTCAAGATAACCTCAAGAAGATGAGAACAAACAAGCACGGGTTCCATTATTTTTTAAAGAAACAAAGGTTGTTGTGATGGTGTGTTTGGTTAATCATCAGCTATTGTAAAACCCTTCAAGTAGGCAGCAATTATGGTGTATACAGGCAGCCATACTGGGTGACTTTTTTGGTTAGCCAAGAACATTCTTAAGTGCTTGGCACCTACCTGTAAGGCGAGCCATCTGGGGGGATGTGTGTGAGATTCTCTGTTGATCTCGAAGTAATCAGATGTCTAACATCAACGGGACTGAGAAGCCGAGGAGAATTCCATGGGGAACACTAGAATTCAAACAAGTACATTACATTAAACAAGCAGGAAATGTATGCATCATAAAGGGTTCCCATCTGCTGGGAATCTACTTTGCCTTGGTTGTTCCTGAAAACCCTCTGGGTGGGAATCAAGCTGCTGCTGGAAGCTTACAAGAAACTTCAGTTCAAGACAAAGCTCTGGGTCACTCCACTTACAACAGTTTTCCCATTCTCACTTAACTCCATCTATGGTAGCTCTTTGTTTCCATTGAAATAACCAAGCCCTAATCAAAATTAGGATAGTCCCCCCCTAATACCATGAGCCTCAATCTTTCTAATCCATCTTTTGTGAGGCACAGTGTCAAAAACTTTGCTAAACTCAAGGTACACAATACTGTACAGCAGTCCTTTCCCCAATCAACTGACCTAATCCTAGCAGAATCCTAGCAGGATAACAGAAAAAAAAATGGAAGCTCGGTCTGACCTCTGGCTACTAATGCATTTTCTTAGGCAACGGCAAGACAAGCTCAAAGAGTAATTCAGCAGATTACTCGGTATTCATAGTTTAAAAATAAAATATAATTTCCTTGCTTTTCCAAGCCTAGAATTGTTTGGGAGTGAGTCTAAAAGTGCCCAACTCTCCAGTTTGGGAAGGAACAAGGCATCAGATATAACGACAGTGACACACACAAACTGACCCAATTTGCTACCATCAAGTTATACACAGTCTTCAGTTGTTTACAGTTTTATTCACATCCATTTTCATTATCTTACAAATTAAGTAAAATAACATTAACTTTCTACAATCCTGAGGTTATTCATGATTTACATCTGAACATTAACTAGCTCCCACCTAAAGTTATTCATGGTTTATACCTGAACATTAACCATCTCCTCACCTGTAAGCTCTTGGTGTCGTGGATAGCAGAGTTACGAGAGACAGCGTGACCAGTGTGGCCGTTGCCTGTCTGAATAGCAATAAATGTGTCGGCAAACTGTCGCGCCTTCAGGTTCAGCTCACGAATCCTCTCCTGAAATAGTTAACTAATTAGTAATCCCTGATTATATCCCTGTAAAATTAATTTATTATTTATAAGCACTATTAAATCTTTTTAAATACTGTGTTTGAGTATTAGTACCATATAGAGGCAATTTATTACACTGTACTAAAACCAAAGGAATATAAACAAGGGTTTGAAATAACCAGCTAAGATAAAGTTCATAGCAAGATCCAAATTAGATTATTTTTATTAAAATGTAATAGTTGCAGTATAAGTTAATCCAACACCGAGTTGCAGGTAAGTGGAACAAAATGCTAAGAGTAGCATCATTGAAGTAAATTGCTAAAGTAAGAAAACAGGAGCAAGAGAGAGATACAAGAATGAACACAATTGGGTACATATAGAGTCTGCCTAACATGAGCAATAAGGGTATTGCAGTGCTTTTATCTAGAGTTCTCATATGGCAAATACCTATACATATTGACTATTCTTTATGTGCAATTTACTATTTCCAGAAGCTTTTTAGTTGAAGGTGTAAGCTCTCAAGGTTTTCCTTTTACTCTGAAACTGATAAGCTCCAAATTTTGTAACATTTTATAAAGAGTAGAGTGCCTGCTCAGTTGTTTAAATCTGAACCAGACTGGTTCAGATTATAGGGAGCTTTATTATATCTGGATGCAGTGCAACAGTTATCACTGTTCAAAATTTTTGGGAGAAAACAAAAAAGTTTGGGTGATACAAGAAGCACTTTTCTAATTAGTTAGTTTAGTTCATTTATTATGCACCCCATACCCATCTTGTGGGCGGTAGTGGAAAGGGTTACAGAGGCACATAATGGGCTCAGGGACTGAACCCCACAATTCATTTAGCTAAGCAAGTTACAATCTTGATGAGCTAGTTACAAAATTCAATATAAGTCATCACATCAACAATGGGTTCGAGATCGACCTCAAGTACAGGTTCTAAATTAAGCAACTGGCACTTTTCTAAGCAGGTCACTTGGTTGTCCTAAAGGCACGTTCTTTCCTTCTGCCATTAGATCCAATCGAACAACAGGGATCTTTCTAAACATTTCTGTCAGGTCATACCGGTGTCAGGGAGGCAATGGTGTGTTTATTCAATCGAGTACTGAATGCCTCCAAGAAGGTTCATGCGATTGTGATAGGAGTGAGGGAGGAACTCGCATTAGGCAAGTAAGGCAAGAGTGGTGAGGAGCAGGTAAGAGGAGGTAATTCCTAGAGGAAGGTAAGAGCAAGGGAAAAGGTAAGAACAAGATGAAAAGTACAGATGGGATGGGTGTAATAATGGGGTGCAAGAATGGGAACGTAAGAATAAAAGGAGAAAAAAAGTATGTGAAGGCTTATGTCAGGTCATGTTTGTTAGAAAGGTTAGAGTATTTGAGCATATACTGTGAAAGGGTAGAGTCAACAGCAACAAAGCCAGGACTAAAGTTCATATTGGGGATGTTGTGTATCAGAGCCGATTCAACAAGACAGCGTCTGTGAAGAGCAGAGGCAGGAAAGATTATTTTAGAAGACCAATCAATAGGATGATTAGAATCCCTAACATGACAGAAGAGAGCATTGTTTGTGAATACAGACTTAACACTTTCTTTGCATTCCCTAAGCCTGTCATTTAGAGTACGGCCAGTTTTCCCAAAGTATAAATGTCATTAATACTAGATAAAAGGTTTAATTCAGAGTCAAATTAACTGGTTTTCTATGCAAGACATTTAAATCAAAACTGGTATTAACCATTCATGTTTAACTAAATTAAGTAAATCTTAAATTAACTTAACAGTACAGTACTGTAGTTAATAAGGTTAGGTTACAAATGCTTGGATGCTTGGAGTTTGGTTCAATAGATGAATGGTTGTACTGTCTATGCAAATTTTACTAATGTTACATGAGATTATTTCACAATAGTTGCCTAATAGCAGTGATAATCATTAAAGTGGTATTATGTAGGGCTAGTTAGAATATAGCAGTAGCAGCTAGTAGTAGTGATATAACTAACAGAGTAGCGACATGTGTAAGCAATAGTAGTAATTACTTTATGATTGGGAGAGAAAAGTAAAAGCAGTAAGCTGTCCAAACCTGAACTGTTTTAGGGCGAATGATAAGCTTGCCAGTGGTGCCACTGACATCCAAGTTTCCAAGGAGCGCGTCCGTTTGCGTTGTCTGAGACAACCTCCGAAACACCACCCGTGATACCTCTGTCGGGTCGTCATCACCTGTTCAACAGAACATTGCTATTTAAGTCCTTTATTGATGAAAGTCAGATGTGCATTAAAAAAACTATATTGGTAAATTACAAGATTAATACATCATAAGACCTGTTTATAATAACTGTATTATTATTTTCACATTTCTTTTTGAGTATGGTAAAGTTTCTGGTCTATGGTCACCTAAGAAAGTTGTGTTAATTTTAGATCTGGAAATACAACTACATACTGGGTATATGAGAAAAAGGATCTACTGGTAAAGTGGAAAGTGCAAATAACATTGAAGCCTTGCAAAGCAATCTACATAAACTTTACAAATGGTTAAAAAACAATAAATGGCCCTGTAAACAAAATGTTTATCACTCATCATGTTCATCATCTAAGAACAATTCCCTCTGCCAACTGACAATGCAATCCAGATGTACACGAGTGTCGAGGCTTATTTGATGCACAAGGCAGAGTTGGTGTTGCTACCTGGTTGTGTTATTTAGAGGTTCTTGTTAGGCAATGCTAAGCATACAATTATCAATTGTGAATGTATCACTACTGGGGATTGTGTTTAGAATTCCTGACTTAAAGCAAATCTTTGTAATGTATTGGGGTATGAATGTGCATGTTAAGAAATAGGTACCTTGATATGCAGCACAGTAATTAGTTCAGTCAGCTTTCAACCATTTGTAATCGAGTTTGAGTCCCAGGTAAGACAAGATGTCTGGGCGTGTTTTCTCTCAATTAATGCCTCTGTCGACCTAGCAGTAAAAAGGTACCTCAGATATAGGGAACTGATGTAGGTTGCATCCAACCAAAGATTAATCATAAAATTAGCAGGGGAGGGGAGGAGGGGACTTTGATAAGCCTAATGGGCTTCCTGTCCCAGATAATGGGAAACCAATTTTTTTTTGTTTAATTATCAGGGGGAAAGTGCCAACCCATTACGACTTTGTTAGACTTGGAAGGGGTCAGGATAAGGATTTTGGATGGGACAGGGTGAAGGAATGGTTCCAAACCACTTGGACAGTTGGGGATTGAACGCCAACCTGCATGAAGTGAGACCATCGCTCTACCGTCCAGTCAAAGTGGCTGGGAAACCAAACCATTGCCAGTAGCTATTGGAATGGAAGTAACAAAACGACTATTATTTCCCTGCTTCCTATCACTACTCAAGGATGCTGGCTGAAGTATTCCCTACAACTAGTCACTCACAGAACACAAGAGGTCACCCGGACCACACCCCACCCCATACCCTCGTTCACCTAAGTACTCACATTGATTACTTATAACCACAACACTTCCCATCTTCAACTCAACCTCCCCTTATGTCACATAAGTATATCACTATGTAGCTCAATATTTTTATACTATCTGATAGAAGGATACGAATTATAACTATGGAGATTTATCAGCCGCCACCATCACACCAGCAATGCCCACCTTGTGTCACCCACTGACATTGCCCACTTCGCCACTTGACATTCATTGTTCCATTGCCACACAACAAATACTCACTAAGATTAATTACGCCATTAAGAGCAGCACAAACAGATAAATGTCAAAGATTAACTGAAGCTCGACAGTCACCGCCTTCACCCTCCTGCGAGACCCCCTCATCTCCGCCCTTTCACAGCCTTATTTAGCACTTACGCAAGTCATGCCTGCGTGCCAATTTTCTGCAGAAAGCTGTCTTGGCATATGAGTAACCCACGTAGGCGAATCCAGCAAACACCGCCGAGCACAGAGCGACTTTATTCAACGTTCGGTCCTGGAGTGACCCGCTAGCTGCAGACGACATCTTGTCCATCACAACCCGTATATTTTTTACCCAGGGTGAACAACGCTTGCCACATTTATTCCACACGGCTCACTATCAATATAATTAAACCATATAAATGTTCATATTACTTAACTTTTATAGTTATATATATCCGGTTTAATTATTAATATTGTTAAGGAAATATTACTGGGATGTAGCAGTTCATCTTAGATAAAAAAAATAACATGAAGTTACCCTGGTGGCAGTTTAGGGAAGTAACATGTATACAAATAATATGTCAAAGCTTGTTTATATACAATATGCAGTCCTTATATACTGAGTACTTATCTAATGGCTACTTTTATGCTCAGGAACTTGTATACTGAGCACTTAATTTATTGAGCACTACATACATACATATATATATAGGGGCTCGACGGCTGAGTGGACAGCGCTCGGGGTTCGTAGTCCTAAGGGTTCGGGTTCGATCCCCTGTGGAGACGGACCAGGCGGACACAAATGGGCAGTTTCTTTCACCCTGATGCTCCTGTTCAGCAGTAAATAGGTACCTGGTAGTTAGACAGCTGCTACGGGCTTTTTCCTGGGAATGTGTGTGTGAAAATTAGGATTAAGGACTTGCCCGAAACACTATGTATGCTAGTGGCTGTATGCTAGCCACTAGCTGTATGCATAGCTATGCTATGTGTGCTAGTGGCTGTACAAGACTAAGAACTCTTGTATAAATAAATAAATAAATAAAAACAATATATATATATATATATATATATATATATTTTATTAAATATGACCGAAAAAGTAAGATTAATAATTCTAACACGAATTTTCTCAATCTTTCGTACATTATGCTTCACCATTGGAGGTAAATCAAAAATCACTTCTCCAAAATTCATTTTTATTTCTAGTCTGACGCGACACGGGCGCGTTTCGTAAAACTTATACATTTTCAAAGACTTCACAAATACACAACTGATTAGAACTTGCGTTCCCTGGTTTTATATCTACATTTGAGTGAGGTGGGAAGGGTGATGTGGCATTACATTTGAGTAAGGTGGGAAGGATGATGTGGCATTAGAGGATATAAATAGGGTATTAAAAGTATCAACACAAGACAGAACACGAAACAATGGATATTGAATAGAAGTGTTTGTAGAAAGCCTATTGGTCCATATTTCTTGATGCTTCTATATTGGAGCGGGGTCTTGAGGTGGGTAGAATATAGTTGTGCAATAATTGGCTGTTGATTGCTGGTGTTGACTTCTTGATGTGTAGTGCCTCGCAAACGTCGAGCCGCCTGCTATCGCTGTATCTATCGATGATTTCTGTGTTGTTTACTAGGATTTCTCTGGCGATGGTTTGGTTATGGGAAGAGATTATATGTTCCTTAATGGAGCCCTGTTGTTTATGCATCGTTAAACGCCTAGAAAGAGATGTTGTTGTCTTGCCTATATACTGGGTTTTTTGGAGCTTACAGTCCCCAAGTGGGCATTTGAAGGCATAGACGACGTTAGTCTCTTTTAAAGCGTTCTGTTTCGTGTCTGGAGAGTTTCTCATGAGTAGGCTGGCCGTTTTTCTGGTTTTATAGTAAATCGTCAGTTGTATCCTCTGATTTTTGTCTGTAGGGATAACGTTTCTATTAACAATATCTTTCAGGACCCTTTCCTCTGTTTTATGAGCTGTGGAAAAGAAGTTCCTGTAAAATAGTCTAATAGGGGGTATAGGTGTTGTGTTAGTTGTCGCTTCGGAGGTTGCATGGCTTTTCACTTTCCTTCTTATGATGTCTTCGATGAAACCATTGGAGAAGCCGTTATTGACTAGAACCTGCCTTACCCTACAGAGTTCTTCGTCGACTTGCTTCCATTCTGAGCTGTGGCTGAGAGCACGGTCGACGTATGCGTTAACAACACTCCTCTTGTACCTGTCAGGGCAGTCGCTGTTGGCATTTAGGCACATTCCTATGTTTGTTTCCTTTGTGTAGACTGCAGTGTGGAAACCTCCGCCCTTTTCCATGACTGTTACATCTAGAAAAGGCAGCTTCCCATCCTTTTCCGTCTCATAAGTGAAACGCAGCACGGAACTCTGCTCAAATGCCTCCTTCAGCTCCTGCAGATGTCTAACATCAGGTACCTGTGTAAAAATGTCGTCAACATACCTGCAGTATATGGCCGGTTTCAAGTTCATGTCGACTAAGACTTTTTGCTCGATGGTACCCATGTAGAAGTTTGCAAACAGGACACCTAGGGGAGAACCCATAGCGACCCCATCTACTTGCTTATACATGTGCCCATCCGGGCTCAAGAAGGGTGCCTCTTTAGTACAAGCTTGGAGTAGTTTCCTCAGAATACTTTCTGGCATGTCAAGAGGAGTACAGGCTGGATCACGATACACTCTGTCGGCTATCATTCCGATTGTCTCGTCCACAGGTACATTAGTAAACAGCGATTCTACGTCCAACGAGGCTCTTATCCCTGTGGCCCGTGCGCCCCGCAGTAAGTCCACAAATTCCTTTGGAGACTTCAGGCTGAAGGCGCAAGGAACATAAGGAGTCAGCAGGCCGTTGAGTCGCTTCGCCAATCTGTACGTGGGAAACCATCGCCAGAGATATCCTAGTAAACAACACAGAAATCATCGATAGATACAGCGATAGCAGGCGGCTCGACGTTTGCGAGGCACTACACATCAAGAAGTCAACACCAGCAATCAACAGCCAATTATTGCACAACTATATTCTACCCACCTCAAGACCCCGCTCCAATATAGAAGCATCAAGAAATATGGACCAATAGGCTTTCTACAAACACTTCTATTCAATATCCATTGTTTCGTGTTCTGTCTTGTGTTGATACTTTTAATACCCTATTTATATCCTCTAATGCCACATCATCCTTCCCACCTTACTCAAATGTAATGCCACATCACCCTTCCCACCTCACTCAAATGTAGATATAAAACCAGGGAACGCAAGTTCTAATCAGTTGTGTATTTGTGAAGTCTTTGAAAATGTAATAAGTTTTACGAAACGCGCCCGTGTCGCGTCAGACTAGAAATAAAAATGAATTTTGGAGAAGTGATTTTTGATTTACCTCCAATGGTGAAGCATAATGTACGAAAGATTGAGAAAATTCGTGTTAGAATTATTAATCTTACTTTTTCGGTCATATTTAATAAAATATGTCTACAGGAAAGACTGCTACCAAAATATACTAATGTTAAAGTGCACGACCCAGCAGCAAGGAATCAAGCCTTCACGATAAAATATCGCCAGGATCTGATTCGTGATCAGATATACAAGGCAGAGAATGAAATCAAAGACAAAAAAACGCAACTACTTCATGCTACAAACGAGTGGAGAAATAGCAACATCGACCATAGTATCCGTACCCGCATTGAACAACACCTCGACATCCTCACAGACCAACATCACCTCAGCACTGAAACAAGGATTATCAAGAAACTAACAACATTATATGGAGGACCTATGGCAATTCCACGACCAAGAGATGGCTTCCTGAACCTTGCAGGAATTAACCTCACTGAGGACCAAGTCACTCTCCTAAATCTGGGCATAAACTGTCATGTTATGTCCAGACCGAGTGAAATGGCCCGGAAAGTGGAGTTGGAAATTCTGTTGGACGACATATTCGACCTCGAGACACAAAAGAAGGTCACTACCAAAGATACCTTACAAGCAGAACTTATTGCAGAAGGAGGAAAGAATCGAGGCAACTACAGAAGCACCATACTGTCCCCCGAGCTTAGAGCGGCAGCTAAAAGCCTTCGTGAGAACAAGGAGATAGTTGTCAGGAGAGGTGACAAGTCGCCAATATATGTCATTCTTAAAAAAGACGAATATCTGGCGAAAATGAACATCATACTCTCTGACCAAACTAAGTTCCAAAGGGTAACGAAGGACACTACAGCCGAATTAAAAGCAAAGGTCAACAAACTGATCGAAACTGTGAACGCCAAGAAATCCGGACTCCACCTGCCAAAGATCATTGGGGAATATAAACCTGGATATGCGTATGGAATGTCAAGACGCACAAGCCTGGAAACCCACTTCGGCCAATCATTAGCCAGATACCCACACCCACGTACAGATTGGCGAAGCGACTCAACGGCCTGCTGACTCCTTATGTTCCTTGCGCCTTCAGCCTGAAGTCTCCAAAGGAATTTGTGGACTTACTGCGGGGCGCACGGGCCACAGGGATAAGAGCCTCGTTGGACGTAGAATCGCTGTTTACTAATGTACCTGTGGACGAGACAATCGGAATGATAGCCGACAGAGTGTATCGTGATCCAGCCTGTACTCCTCTTGACATGCCAGAAAGTATTCTGAGGAAACTACTCCAAGCTTGTACTAAAGAGGCACCCTTCTTGAGCCCGGATGGGCACATGTATAAGCAAGTAGATGGGGTCGCTATGGGTTCTCCCCTAGGTGTCCTGTTTGCAAACTTCTACATGGGTACCATCGAGCAAAAAGTCTTAGTCGACATGAACTTGAAACCGGCCATATACTGCAGGTATGTTGACGACATTTTTACACAGGTACCTGATGTTAGACATCTGCAGGAGCTGAAGGAGGCATTTGAGCAGAGTTCCGTGCTGCGTTTCACTTATGAGACGGAAAAGGATGGGAAGCTGCCTTTTCTAGATGTAACAGTCATGGAAAAGGGCGGAGGTTTCCACACTGCAGTCTACACAAAGGAAACAAACATAGGAATGTGCCTAAATGCCAACAGCGACTGCCCTGACAGGTACAAGAGGAGTGTTGTTAACGCATACGTCGACCGTGCTCTCAGCCACAGCTCAGAATGGAAGCAAGTCGACGAAGAACTCTGTAGGGTAAGGCAGGTTCTAGTCAATAACGGCTTCTCCAATGGTTTCATCGAAGACATCATAAGAAGGAAAGTGAAAAGCCATGCAACCTCCGAAGCGACAACTAACACAACACCTATACCCCCTATTAGACTATTTTACAGGAACTTCTTTTCCACAGCTCATAAAACAGAGGAAAGGGTCCTGAAAG